AATTGTAATATGTATTTAAAATAAATGTAAATATTTTAACAATAAATCTATTTATTATAAATTTTTGTTTTATAAAAAACAAAAATTTAGAGTAAAACCGTATTGTTAGATTAATAATAGCCACATAAATTGGTCCACAAATTACTTTAATTGTACTTCATTTTTTTCAAATGTTTGAAAATAGGGTTTTGAGAAATAGGTGTTAATTTTATAGAGAGATATCTAAAGTGAGCGCCCGTTAATATATTTACTCCATCAAATCTAAAAACGCGAGATTTTATAGAATGCATCACAAAGTGACAAATTTAATAAAATTTGTTATTATATAGAAATAATATTTAATGACAATACAATTTTTCAGAAATATCGCAAATATATTACTCTAATTAATAATATTAATATTCTATTTTTATTATAATATGTTGCTTACCAACCTGTAATGCCGTTATGCTTTCCTGATGATCAGATCCCGCATATGGTGGATACAATTGGGCCAAACACATGACTGCTTCGTTGCAAAATTTTAGGCCCATTACTTCCTCGTCTTCTCTTCCGTAGCGGAAAGTTAGTGTAACTTGTCCAAAAACCTGCAAAAATTACATTTCAATTTATATTTAATGTAATGCAATTAATTTGTAATGTGATCTGTAATGACACAGTGTGGAATACACGTGGATTTTATTCTAATACAAAAATATATTATTATTTATCTTAAAAATATCTTTCAAATTTTAATTATTACAAAATAAACTAAATTATGTCATATGTTGTTGTATAAAAAAATTGAATACATCAAGAATTTTATGTGCGTATGTGTATATATATGTATATATTCAAATATATATTATATATAGGGGAAAGTAGGCTAAAACCGGGTACTTTTTTGCATTTGTCTTCCTACAAAAAAAACAGAGTAAAAAGAATTTTACTGACTATTAGTAGTCTTTAGTGGACCTTAAACTATGAGAAAATGAGGCTAGTTGCTGAAAAAAAAATATTTGGTTACCAAGGATAACAAGATTTTTTAGAGAAATCAAAATATCCAGTTTTGCCCTACCGGTAGGGTAAAACCGGGTACCTATTTGAAAATATGTAAAACACCGTGCAATTACAAAATATAGATTTATTTTAATCAAAATACGATATGAAGATGTATTCTATTGACAAAAATCACAAATAAAGGTATCCTCTTGTTCGACATTGCTGCAGGACTTCCTTATTTAACTTTTTAATTTTAGGGGTCTCAAAAAGCTTTTTTTTTAGTAATTTCTTTTTCTGAGTGGTAGTTTTCATTTCCAATTGCTTTTTGTAGGGAGACAAAGTCAGGATAACAGTTCTTCCTCTTTTCATTACATGAGATGTATAGGTACCTGGTTTTGCCCCAACACAAGGAAAGTAACAAACACGGCAATTGTATATCCCGGCAGACAAAGTGACGATCAAAACTATAATAATAATATGATATACTCTCTAATATGTACAGAATGCAATGCTGCAATTACCGAAACAGATGCTCTATATAGAAAAAGTACACGACGACTCGATTCTTGCCTCGATATCGATCTTTTTGGGGCTAAAAACTTTGAACTTCTATTAAAAAAGAAATATCATGTGCACAGGGACACGGTTTGTTTTAAAATAATGATGGCGCCAATCTACAACTAATAACACAAGTTAGCTATAAATATCAGCATTTATTACGAAAAAACAGGGGTACCCAGTTTGACCCGCCTACCCGGTTTTATCCAACTTTCTCCTATATCTTGTATAAAATCTAAAAGAAATAAATATAAAAACTTGCCGAGATTTTGGAAACAAATGTAATATTTGAATATTATTTTAACGTCATATTTAATATTTCTTCTATTATTAGTACATATTTTTTTTCCTGTATTCTAACGATTAGAATATGTATAGTTCGCGATTCGCAGGCGAATTTTCATTGTATCCGATTAAATAACATTTTATAGGAAAGTAAAGCTTTATATTTGATAACAACAAATATATTTGACGTTATATCTCTACTGAATAAGAATTTAGCAGGATTATTTACGAGTCCGAAAAATTTTTTGGTTCGATCGCTGAAGAGATCATACGTTCTAGCAATTGCAATAAGAATAAAATTTTTTCAAGACAAATATTAAATAATAATAATTGTTTATATCGTTTTATGTGCCTTACCCTTTTTTCCTGTAAGTAGTCGGGATCAACCAAGAGAACGCCTTGAAGTTTGTCGATTTTGGCTTCACTGACAATAAGGTCCCTACTGGCTAGGTAAAGTGTCAATTTATTATTCGGTGATGATTTCTTGTATACTCTGTAGATCAGAAAAGATGTTTTATGTTAGAGGAATATTAACTTAAAGGGCATATGTAGATATCATATACGGATGGTATTTTGTAGAATAATAGAATTTGTACAATTCCTTCTGCTTCATTCTGTGAAATAGAATACTTAAATCTTCTGGGAATAGAATATAAATACGTTACAAACTTATTTATTGGACTTAAAGCTTGAATGTTTAATGATGAGAATATATATAAATTTATATATAAACAATGTTTAATATATAACTTATACTACTATATAATTTATATTTGTTATATGTATATTTTGTAAAATATCACAACTTAAAGTATAAATTCAACTACAAATATGATATAATAGTATCACGATTCAATAATCTAATAAAACTTTTGGTAAAGTTAATTATCTTAGTGATATCGAGAAAAAAGGGGAGTCATTGTACTTATCTAATTGTAAGACCATCTATTAGCTAATTCATTTTGTGTTGAAATCCCTTTTATTTTTTGATTCCAGAATTGTTACAGTTAATTGGAATTCAAAATAGCATAGAGTTTTATTACGTTGTATTCCATTTATTATTTATCAAGCGAGCTATCAATTTCGTCGAGGTTTTGTCTGTCTGTTCTATTCGACACCAACTACATTTATTTATAATAGCACGCATTGTTAAATACATTTGCAAATACATCGGGCAAATATATTTATTTAAACGCAGTCGATTGCATTATTACTAATTAAGATATGCTTTTGTATTTGATCCCGGAGCTTTTTCACGAAGTGATATAATAATTCTATTAGCCTATTATTTCTATTTAGTACGCGACAATTAACTGGAATTATTGATTATGAACAAATTTATTCGAATAATCACTTGTAAACTATAATTAAAATAAATGATTTTCGTATTCTCTTGAAATTATTCGCCCGTAATCGTATGCATTTAATACGCAAATATATTTAGATGTATTTGACGTATTCGAAGTGCTTAACGATATTTAACATATGACATTTGTAATAAAATTAGCCGTAATGAATTTAGTAGCGATTATTTGATACTAGTTATAAGGTTTATAAGGATTTTTAAGGATATTAATTAAAATGTTTACTTCGAACGCCATTATAATCAATTAATAAGGATTAAATCTCAACTCCATACGATTAATTGATAATAGCTCAATGTCATTATGATTGCATCAATATACCTTCGAAAACGGCAGCTTTGGCTTAATTAGTCTCTGCTAACCTAAGGTTGAACCCAAAGTAAAATATAAGTAATAAATCGTATATTGTATATCGCTTTGTCTGAAATTGTATCACATTTTAGTTTTTAATAACTTCTTTCTCAGCACAAATATTTTTCTCGCACATAAAATAAAAATATCGAAAAATAAATTTAAAAAGAATCAAGAATTTTATATTATTAAAATTGTGTAATTAAAATTTTTATAATTATTGTTAGAGATATTGAAAGATAGAATTAAAAATTAACGTTAATAGTCGATATATTAATACATGCGATTGGGGGATGTAAACTAATTATACATATGTATATATCAGGTGATTGCATAAGTTCGTGCCCGATTTAAATATAAACTTCAATAGATTATATTTTAGAGATTTGTCTTCCTACAAGAAATCAGAGAGTAAAAAAATTTTGCTGACCATTAGTAGTCTTTAATGGGCCTTAGACTATGAGAAAATGAGGCTAGTTGCAGAAAAAAATATTTGGTTACCAAGGATAATAAGATTTTTTTAGAAAAGTCAAAATATCCGGTTTTGCCCTAAATCCGGTAAAACCGGATACCTATTTGAAAACATGTAAAACATCATGCAATTACGAAATCTAGATTTATTTTAATCAAAATACAATACAAAGATGTATTCTATTGACAAAAATCACAAATAAAGATATCCTCTTCTTTTACATTGCTGCAGGACCTTCTTATTTAATTTTTTAACTTTAGGAATCTCAAAAAGCTTTTTTTTAGTGATTTCTTTTTCTAAGTAGTAGTTCTCATTTCCAATTGCTTTTTGTAGGGAGACAAAGTCAGGATAATAGTTCTTCCTCTTTTCATTACATGAGATGTATAGGTACCTGGTTTTGCCCCAACACAAGGAAAGTAACAAACACGGCGGCTGTATATTCCGGTGTTCAAAGTGATGATCAAAGCTAATACGATGTACTCTTTAACATGTACAGAATGCATTGCTGCATTTACGGAAGCAGATATTCTGTGTAGAAAAAGTCCATAACGACTCGACTGTTGCCGCGATATCGATCTTTTTTGGCCCGAAAATTTTGAACTTCTCTCAAATGTTTTGTATAAAAAGTTTATTTTCGGTATCATCAATATTTATCTGCACTAAAATGATCATTTAATTTAAAAGGGCGGAATTGCATATATAAGTCGATGTATTTTCCTTGGGATTAGAAATTCAACATATCGATATTTTATGCATTTCAGCAAATATTTTTAAACGTAATTATCTATGGTTCATATATCGAAGAAACGTTATATTCACTGTAAACGGAGCGACTTTGTATAAAAATCCTTGACAATATATATTATATAGGGATATGCCTATAATCTAACATTAAAATTCTTTTGCATTCGGATTTTGTACTATTTTATTATTGTGTGCTATTTTCATTAGTGTATAAACGAACATTATTTTAAGAAATTTTTGCCACGATATAAATTCACTGTATAAATATCATCTCTCTCTCTAGATTTTCTTCCTACGAACTACTTCAACTGTAGAGATCCAATAATACTTTTTCTTTTCTCCTCGAGCTCTGATTATGGATACATACAGAATAATCGGGTCACGGTTTTCTCACGATTTTAATTATTCTATTTCCCAGCTTTTAATGACACTGTACAAACATGATACATGAGCATATTTCGAGTCACATTAATTTTTTTTGCTATAGTTAACAGTATTAAAACTATAAACGACGCAAATGATCATAATGAGTGTTTTAATGGATCTCAACATTATGAATTTGGATGCTTACGTCCCTTACGTTATTGACAGTAGTTATTTTCGTCACGCTGACACGATGTATTAAATACATGATATATTAAAACATTAAATTTAAACTACGTAACTGAAAGATAAAATAATTTCTTTAATAATTTCTTTAATAATTATTTTCTATTATATTTAAGAAAGAAAATTGTAATGTGTCAAAATTATAATATTTATATAATTATTTATAAATTATACAAAGCATATAAATTTTATACCAAATATGATACAATATGCTAAAATATTTTTTTATATCTTATAATTTTTATTTAGTAATAAAAAAATGGGATATAAAAAAATTGTAAAACAAAAATATTTATGTATACATATATGTACGATTACAATTTACAATTAATTTCAATTCTTGTTTGTAATCGACATTTTATAACATTACCTTTGACTACTGAATGGAGAATCCGATATGTGGTCCGGGCTTGTATCGACTTTTCTGGAATATAAAAGAAACGAGTCGTGTTACTTATAAAAGGATTGCATTTATTTTTAACACAAACAAATAGAAGAGTTAAATTTAATTTTGTAATTTTCTGACAATATCTTGAAGAGACATATAAATACATATCTAGAAACTGCGATATTTACTATTGCAACACCATTAACATTGGCGCCTGGATTACGAAGAAGCAATCTCGATTGTTGACATTTCGTTTGCCAACAGTAGTATCGTGCAGGCTTGTTTATTCCTCCCACATTTCTCGCGGTTGTTCGAAGTGGAAAAGTTTGACACGTGCGTCAAACTTTCTACGTCATGCTTTTGCAGTAAAATACTTACATTTATATTCTGATTTGCATTTGCCACTTTTTTTTATCTAAAAGGGAGTAACTTATTAAATACTTTAAAAATAGCATAAGAAAGCGCAATTTTCTTGAAAATTGGGTAATTCTTCCTTTGTTTTTAAATTCATTCCAAAATATTTTAACGTGCTTTAATTTTGACTAGGAAGCTAACTTTTGATATATTTTCGCATGAAAACTAAAATTGATGCAAAATTATTCGAAGCGGTGCACAAGCACCACTTTAATTAATAAGTTAAAATACGTGATTCGTACCGTAACTAATTGTAAGTTACGTTGGATTCATAATTTTTTCCTATTTTAATTATGGGTTGCCATGATCGTTTCGGGTTGTGCAAGATAATCTTTTCTGCTTCGTGAAAAATTTAAAAATATTTTCAATCAGTATTTAGATTTTCAACCAGTATTATCCGACAATATCGGAAAATGTATTTTAATAATACATTTCTTATCTCAAATTTGCAGCTAACTTCTATTAAAATTACGAAAATTGGAATATTTAATTGCGAAAATACAAAACATGAGAAATTAAAAATGTCAAGCAAATTAAGTATATACGAGGACTGACAATTAAGTTCGTAGAAAATATTTATTACAATTACAGAACACATTTATTCGTTATCTAATATACGGTCCCTTTTATCAATAATACGAGTTAGCTAAAGATAGTAGCACTTATCACGAAGAAACAAATGTACCCGGTTTGACCCGCCTACTCGGTTTTACCCTACTTTCCCCTATATACACATTTTATTGAGCTTACGGTGGATCTCTTTTGTCAAAACTTCTTGACGTTTTTTCATGCGAAGCATATAATTATTCTTTGCTAATTAAGTATATTTAATAAATGATGAGAAGGAAAGCTGAGAATTTATATTGTATTTGAAAAAAAGGAGATTTTTGTATACCTGCTTCTTAAAATATAAAATATTCTTACATTTAAAACTTTGATATATATTTTTCAATATTACATATATTTAATTTATAACATACTGAAGACAGTGATTTTGTTATTAATAAAATCGGACACATTGATAGAATAGACCTAAATGAAAATTTCCCAAAATCAAGAAAGGCATGAAAGATCGTCATTGGGGGTCACGAATGGAGGTGGAATGGATGACGCGTGCACTAAACAGCCTCACAGAGAATGATTTTGAAGACTGCTTTCTGTAATGGAAAAAACATTGCACTGATTCGTTATCTGATACACAGTTCTTTTCAAAATAGTCCCCTCCTAAAGCAATGCACTTGGTCCATATGTATGTATTTCAAAAGTATAATGACATATCTACAATAGATAGCCAAGAAACAGAAATGTTTCAAAGCAAATAAAATACGATCGAGCAAATCGAGTCAAATAATAAAAACATTTTAAAAAGCATAGTAATATATAACATATGCACAAAATACGTTTAATAAAAAAAGACTTTCTGAAGAGCATAATGTTTAGCAAGGAAAATGTGTCAGAACTTTTATTTGAAATAAGTTTTCTATGTTACTATCAAAAATAATAAATAATTTGATGTCATCCAGAACCAAATTTTGTCTTTGATAGAAAAAAAACATTTTTTTCCTATTTTATTT